CCCTTGTCCCGGGGGTATTTGATGGGGGTGGACAGTGTAGAGGGAGCCTTACCCTGTATCTAACGCCTCGCGCTGGGCGTGTTTGATGGGGAACGGAGTTAGGACGGGGTGTGGAAGTTAGAGCTGAGCTGTACTGAAAGCTGTCGATCTCCTCCCCCCACAGATCGGGAACGAAGAATCGAATCCTGCCAGAGCACGTGTGAAGCACCCAGCACTGGGAGGGGTGGGGGGCCGCAGACTCGCCTGAGCCAGAAATTGATGTTTGTTTTGTGATTTTGTTTTTTTTACAAGAAAATAGCCAAAGTACTTAGTCATAATAAAGAATCAAACCATTGAAATCTTGCTGCATGTGTGAGATTAATGTTTGGGGCTTGGCGGGGTTGGTAGCGAACAGCTTAGGTGAAGGGAAAGGAGGTGGGTGGGTGTGCGGACCAGGACCCCTCTCCCTCTCAGCGTGGGGGTCTTGGTGTGACTCTGGCCCCAGGACCCACTCGACGCTTCAGCGAGGAGATAGAGCCCCTTGCTCGGGAGTGCCAAGGGTCAAAGAGGGTACAACAGAGGGTCTTCGATGGCTTTGACTGCTTTCGTGAGGCAGTGGGAAGTGCGGACGGGGGTGCGGTCAACAGATTGTTTTCTGCGAAGGGCCGGGCTACATTCGTAGCTCGCGGAATCCCGACAGTGTGGAAGCAGGCCATTGAGCACATCGGGTCCACCCTGGAGAGCATCCCAGCCAGATATAGCCCCCAACCATATCCCTGTAACCCCGCATTCCCAACGGCCAATCCACCCTAACCCGCACATCCCTGGGCACTACTGGGCAATTTAGCACGGCCAATCCACCCTAACCCACACATTCCTGGGCACTACGGGACAATTTAGCATGGCCAGTCCACCCTAACCCGCACATCCCTGGGCACTACGGGACAATTTAGCACGGCCAGTCCACCCTAACCCGCACATCCCTGGGCACTACGGGACAATTTAGCACGGCCAATCCACCCTAACCCGCACATCCCTGGGCACTGCGGGACAATTTAGCACGGCCAATCCCCCCTAACCCGCACATCCCTGGGCACTACGGGGCAATTTAGCACGGCCAATCCACCCTAACCCGCACATCCCTGGGCCCTACGGGACAATTTACCACGGCCAATCCACCCTAACCTGCACGTCTTTGGACTGTGGGAGGAAACCGGAGCTCCCGGAGGAAACCCACGCAGACACAGGGGGTGAGAACGTGCAAACTTCACACGCACAGGCAGTCGTCCGAGGATGGAATTGAACACAGGTCCCTGGCGCTGCGTGGCAGCACTGCCAACCGTGGAGCCTCCCGTACCCTGTAGTAATTGTGTCACCTTCCTGGGCAGAGCAGTTGCCGTACCAAGCTGCGATGCATCCGAATAGGACACCTTGTGTGGTGCAACCGTCAAAAATAATTGGCCAGAGTCTTTGTGGACGTTCTGAATTTCATTAGCCTCCTGACGAAGTCGAGGGCGTAAGTGGTCTTTCCTTGACCGTAGCGCCGATGTGGATGGACCAACATCGAACGTTGGTAATATTTACTGCTAGGAAGTTGAACCTCCTGACCTCAGCTCTGTCGATACAAAGTCGATGACCAGCTCTGGATGGGGTTGGGGTTGGGGTTGGGGTTAGAGGTGGGGTAGAGACTGTGGTCTTCACAGCGCGCCTCCGTCCGGTCGTTGGCGAGGAGGACACGGGCCCCGAGACCGGAAACGACGGAGCCAGGCCCCGATCTAATCGGGCTGATGGAGGTAACAGGCTCGGGGTGGAAGGGCCGAATAGCCTCCGGTTCTGCCTTTCGTTCCGAATTTTCGCACCGACCCTCTCGGGGACGCCTCGGGAGCGGCTGGGGCTTGCCCCTGGGCCCCCAGTCCCAGAAGAAGGGGCGCTACCCAACCATTAGTCCTGTGTGTGATTGTGTGTGTGTGTGTGTGTTCAGATGGAATATAATTTGTCGGCCCAATATTTATGGAAGGAATGAGACAGGCGCCTTTAAGGGGCGAGCCCACCTACTGTCCCGCCTATCGAGGCCACGCCCCCTGCATTGCCGTGGCCGATTGGCCGGCCGCCGGGACGCCGCCTCCCGATTGGCTCGCAGCGCCGTCACTCCGCAGGAAGGGGCGGGGTTAATTAAAGGGGAAGTCGCGCGCTTCCAGCGAGCTCTCCTTTGAGGGTGAAGATGGCGGCGCTGATCCGGTCGGTGCTGAGGCCCGTTCCTCGCTGCCTCCTTCTCCGAGGGCCCGCTGCCTTCCCCGGCTCCCGGAGGGCCGTCTCTAACAGCGGCCCGGACTCTGCCTCGGCCTCGGGTTCGGCCCTGGCCGGGCCCAGGGAGCTGCCGCCCGGGTACGTGGACGCGGAGCAGCCGGAGGTCAACCTGTACGACCAGGTAAGGGCGGGGAAACAGCCAAAAATCATCTTTAATCGGCTAAAAACCAATAAAATCATCTTTAAACAGCTAAAATCATGCTTAAAAACCAATAAAATCACCTTTA